TATGTTATAGATTAATATAAATCAAAAAATTTAATTTTGAGAAAAAGGTCTCAGAGCCCCATTTTCCTAGCAAACCTTCCATATGATATTAATTATAATTGCATATAAAAATAATATTTTATTTTTTTTTTATTAATATTAATAAATATAATAATTTATATTAAATGTTATTAAAAAAATGGCTTTTTTTTAAAAAATATTTTGATATATATAATAAGCTTTATTATTTTAAGGTGATGGTATTTCTAATTTATATTCTTAAATCTTAATAACATTATTCTTGTATAACTTGTACTTAATAATAAATGCCATTTTCTCCTTATTCTCTTTGGCACTTTCCACCTGCCAATATTCTAAAGTTAAGTTGATTAATAAGAATCTTCATTTAAATTATTTTATCTATGTAAGTATTAATATCATTAATATTTATCATTTATCAGAATTATTTATTTATAGTTATTTTTCAAATAATAAATCTTATTCTAACGTTTTCAATTAATTTTTATTAATTTATATTACAATACAAAAATTTTAAGGGGCACTTTTATGGGGTTGTACATTATGACGCTCTACAATTCCCTTTTTAAGATATATATTTTTTTTTAAAAATAGAATGATGACCAAGGGTATCAAAAAAATTAAATGATGGTCCATTTTGATGATAAAAAAAATTATTCGAGTTTTTAAGAATTAAAAATGGTTGATAAAATGGTTTTTAATTAAATAGATTTCTATCTTTTGAATACAAAAAAAAAAAGAAATATTATGGTACAAAAATTTGTCTTTTTTTTTTTTTTTTTTTTTTTATACAAAAAATAATAATAATAAAAATTAAAACTAAAATACACAACTTTTTTTTTGTTTTCCAGATTATGATCTTGTACCACCTTGTGGTTGATAATGTCTAGATGATGGATTCTGATGATACCTTGCAGATGAAGCATTAGAATGTGCACTTTGAGGCGAATGGGTTGTACGAGGTGGGTGTGGATTTCGTTGTGATGGGGGAATTGCATTCGAAGTTTGTTGTCGTGCAGTCTCTATTGGAGCAAAATGTGTTTTATGAGGTGAACGAGGTGGATATGGATTTCGTTGTGCTGGAGGAATTGCATTGGTAGTTTGTTGTCTTGCAGTATCGATTGGAACGAAATGTGTATTTTGAGGGGATTGTTGAGAATGCGGAGGCATTGGATAAGAATCATAAGCGTTTTCTTCATAATATTGATGATAGTCATCGTAAATAGCAACATTTGGATCCACGTCATTATAACCACCTTGATTTTGTGGTGGCATTTGCTGGTAAGGATATTGATGTTGAGGTTGATATGGAGGAGAAGCAGGATAAGGATGCCTTCCTTGACCACCTGAATATTGATCTGAGTAAGCAGAATTTGAATTATTACTTGGAGGATATTCCATTCCAATAGGTTGACTTTGTTGATCGTACATTGGGACAATACCCGGTGATGCAATACTACCGCTTCTACTCGTATAGGGATTATTATAACCACTTTTTTCTAAAGAAACTGCACTACCATTATTATGATGAGTATAAACCCCTTGAGGAGGTGGGGGATTATAATGTGGCACTTGAACATTAGGTCTTCCCAAAATATATGGGTCCGCTGGTGGCTTTGCGTTATAATTGTTAAACATCATTGGTGGAGGATCATTATGTGGTTGTATTGACGGTGGAGTTGCGTATATTTTATGATTTTGAGCTAGATTATCATCATCAATGTTTGGTAACGTTGGAGCCACTCCATCAAAATGATTATTAGTGCTCTTTGACTCGTTTTGTCTTTTATGTTTTTGTCTTTTAAGAAGTTCGCTGATTCTAAAATAATATGGGTAAAAAAAAAAGAATTTCAATAAATTAATTATAACTAGAAAACATACTAAAGGATATGCGTGATGGAATAATTACCTCTTATCAATTAAATGACAACAGTATTCTTTTAAATTCCCTCGAATCTTGCATAAAATAGGAATGTATAAAAGAAACGCAAAAAATAACAAGCAAGCAGATATAAAGAACATTGAAACGGTGAAAATAATGACGCCCATCGAAGCTCGCGTAAATATTGAACCATATGCACTATAGTTTGTAGTAAAACCTTTTTCACTGAAAATTGTGAATAAAGTCATAGCATTAATTACTTGACGAGGACCATCACAAAATAATAAACGTTTCCATCCTATAAATAAAGAATTTAAATGAGAAAGTTGAATTATATATATATATTTCAAAATATAATTACCTTTAAAAGAAAAAAATACAAAGAAAGCGATTTTATCTTGTCCTTTTTGTTGACTTCTTATTTCTTGAAAGAAACACCAATGAGCATAACTTGTTAAAGTATAATAACGATAAGCCACTATACTTGTAAAGGCAAAAGAAATATCTCTTGAAGCTACAATTAATCTCGCTTTCCTAACTTCAATAAATAATAATAAAAATGAAAAACATATAGAACCAACAACGATCCATTTTGATACAACAAAAGGAATTTTTGGTTTAATTCCTCCTGCCCATCTGTCAGTTACTAATAAAGCACCTGCGTTATATATATCAGCAAGATAGACTAGAACTGATTTTAATACTATGAAAAATACGAATGAATACTTTATTTTACCAATAAAACTATCCTTTTCAAACTCTTGTACATCGACAAAATCAAATTTATGATCCTGAACTTTTTCTCTTTTCCATTTTACCATTTTGAAAATATACTATTCTATTATATAACAAAGGTTCACAGAACCTTTAATTATTTTCAAAGTGATGTTCGTCCCGTTAATTGATTATTAAAAATTAAAAATTATGCTACCAATTTTAATAAATTAATAACTTGGCATAAAACTTCATTACACATTTGTTTGGCAGAGATAAATTTTTTTGTATGTTAGGGAGAAGAAAAAATGAATTTTTTTTTATTATTCATATTTAGAAATTCGGAGAAATATAAACCGACAATGAATTTGTTGGTAATACATAGTTATTTATTCAATTGATCATTTCCGTTTCTGTATGACAAAAGAAGACCATTTTAATTAAGTTTTAGGTTGATTTTCCAAAAGTTTCATGTTGTTTCGTGATGATTATTTGAATCAAAAAATTTCTAACAAATCCCAAAATGACTTTTTTTTTTTAATGGTTTTTTTATTATATAAACCTTCCCTTTTAAAGGAATGAAATTTGAAAGAGCCGATCTACTACACGGATCGTTAAAGGATATCGGAATTATATTTTTGGTAAAAAAATTATCGATCGGACTGTGGCTTAATGTTTGGTGTTACAGCATTGACATTTAAAATTTACGTAACCTGCACGCAAAAATAATTTATGCCCAGTATTTAATGTTTGCAGAAATATGGGTTGAATCTCTTGAGAACTGGTGGAGTAGAAACTTCAGAATTTTGTTCAATACCAAGACTTTGATCAATAAGAATATCTTCTTCATCTCGAATTTCCAATCCGTAAAAACAAAAACAGAGAGTAAACGTCGTTATAAACATTATAACACTATCTACCCACATAAATAATAAATTATTTCTGCGCATTCTACACGCATATAATATTAATGAATCATTTGTTGACGATGCCGAACACGAAAAAGGAATTTTTTCGAATTCATTCGTAGTTAAAACCGTGTACACTGCCGGGATTATTATCCACACGATTGATGTTATACTGTAACGAAACGTGTAAGGAAGAATTATTTAATGAGCAACAACTGATAAATTAATGATAAAAATTCCCGTGAGAGCTTACAATTGTACCAACGCAATTCCTCCGTCTCCCAAGATATTTGGATCATTACTTGCTAATGAACAACACATTGATGTCACTATTATCAAAAGGAAGATTATTGTTTAAATAAATTTTTTGTTATGTTGGAAATTAAAAAATATCTTTTCTTACGGTAACTTATGATCGTCGCTATTAATAAAAAGAGATAACTAAGAGAAAGAAAAATGGTTAAAAAGAAAGAAAAATAAAATAAAAAAAAGATAAAAGAAACACATACAAATTTTCAATTGTTTCATTTTTAAAAACTAAATCATCATCATTAGCCAAAAATGCTTTTCGTTTTTCAATTGCTATCAAAAGAAAATCAGATCACAAATTTGCCATTTTAGTAAACATTATCAAAATAAAATGAAGCTTACCAAATATCAGACATGTTATTGTAACCGATAATCCAAGTAAATAGACTAAAATTAATATTATGTACACTAAAGGTTTTTTCATTTTAAGTGCTGCCATGTTAAAGAGAAGTAAGTGTTGCGAAAGACTAAAATAAAAAAAAAATAAAATCCCTGGGATTTAAGTATTATTTAAACAATTAATATTATCGTATTATGTAAAATTGATATGATATAATTATAGATCTTCGGCCGTGACTCTATTAAGTAAGAGGTTTTAGGAGACAAAAAAAATCTGATTTATGTTTGGGGGTGGGGGGGCTAAAATTATTTGTTTGAGTATTTATATGATTAATTGTATAAGAAAAATCATTTCATATGCATGTATGAATATCTTTGGCCAAATAAGCAAGAGAATTTAACTCGTTTTACGTATTTATCGAAATAATGTATACATGAAACGCATTTAACGACCTGTTCAAAAAAAAACTTAACGCCAGTTGTAATGGTTTATTTTGTAAATAGAATAGTGTTCCGATTGTGACATAATTTGTTGCCATCAATCCGTTTTTTCTTGTACGATTAGTGACCGAATTTAGCACGTGGAACATAAGGGTCGAGATGGATAATGTTGCATTACGGTGTTAGTTGATCTATCTTGTAACCAAAGAAACACCCATTATAAATGTTCTACACGAATAAATATTGATGTGGAAAATTCTCTAAATCGTAACTTTCGAATGATGGATAGAGGTTCGCTATGTTATTTGCTAATTTATAAATTACCTGAAGAGATCAAAAAATAAATGAAAATTCAGAAAATTCTAGCAAATTGAAAAAAGAAATATTAGCTTGATTTTCAAATAAAGATGCCAACGAAAATTAGATAACGAATAATTATACATACATTCGAAAGTGATGTTTCCGACATTTTCTTAAAGTTTACAAGGTAATAAAATAATGCGAACATAACATTATTTTTCCCCTAATATAATATACATCTAAGACTATAAATTATGCAACACCAAATCTTGACTCCCTTCCCCCTTGTATCTTAAATAAAATTGCTTACATATATAGAGAGTGGGCGATACTTCGAAGCAATAACATAATTTGGGTTTTATTGAATTATTACATTTCACCGAAGAAATGAAATTAAAAAAAAGAGAGCAAAGATGGGTGGTGTGCTATTAAATTGAGGTACGGATCATATGATTTACTATGTCTCGTACCTCAATTTTAATAGCATACCACCCATATCAACCCTTCGCATCTTTTATTTAGCAAAGTTAAAAAGAAATTCATTTTGTGATTTATTAATATAAGTTTTACACCTTTTTACAGTCGATCCCCTCAGTGGGGTATATATAGCTAGTATGTCAGATTGTTACAAAAATAATGCGGGCTTTTGAGTTTATGCAATGCGATGTTGTTTATTTAAAAAAAAAAAATCTTCACTTCTTTGAAGATTATAACAGTCAAAATTTTTTATTTACAAAAATGCGATTTACATGCTCCATGTTGTTTACAAAAATAAATTATTTTAAAAAAAACCAAAAGAAATTCCTTTTTAAATACATACATACACCTTGATAGATAGCATTCACATTTAATTTTTTGCGTATTGCAAAATTTAAATACATCCCTCGAATAAAAAAGGTTCAATCCCCACTTTCAACGAATACTATCACGGTTTAATTCAAAAGATAACTGGGGCCGGTTCGTGACTCGCTGTTGCAATGTTTTCCCAATATTGATCTACAAAGTCATCGCTAAATATTTCATAAAATACTTCGGGTAAAACTGCTGAAGTATAGACGTGAGCCGAAACGAGTTCCATAGAAGGTTGTTCTTGTTCTTGTTTGAAATATTTTTCGAATAATTCAATTGCTTCTTGTGATTGTGATGAGGTTTCAAATAAAAATCGATTACTGGTCGTATCTTGAAATTTATCGATCAAGAAACTAAATGTAATAAATACGAGAATTGTTGATATAAAGAAATTTCGAGAATTTAAAGCCATAATTATTTCTGTTAAGATTTTTTTTTGTTTCTTGAGAATTTATTTTGCTTAAATTAAAAATTTCGTTATTAGAAAAAAAAGATTTTTTTTTTTTAAAAAAAAAAGTTTTTTTACATTGAGAATTATCATCTTCATCTTTTTATATCCTTATTCAAACACAATAGAAAAGCAAAATTACATTATAAGAGGAGCACAGAAAACACGTGTTGGATTAATTAATTCTTTTTTTTGTAAATCTTACCAGAATTTACCGGAAATTATCCAAGTTTTATTTCTTGAATTATGATAAATTTGGTTTAATTTGGTTCTAAATAAATTTAAAGTCTGAAGACAAAAACTTGCCACAATATTCCATCCAAATGATAGCGCTGCGGTTTCGATGATCATGTGACTGATCTGCATGATTGCGTCAAGTTTCATTGTTGTTTACATTCATAAAATTATAAAAAGGGGGCCAGATTAACCAAATTAGATTCTTTTTTGTGGGTAGGAAAACCATTTGTTTGACAAAACTTTTTTCCTCAAAAAATATCAATTATAAATAATTTGAAAACTTCCCTTGGTCAAACCAAGTAAGTTTTACCCGCCTATTTTTTTTTTTTCTTAAAATTTTTTTTTTCATGGGAAAATATCGCAAATAGCATTAAATTAACTAAAAACTAATTTATTTTTATACTTTTTATTTATAAACAAGAGTTAAGCGTATATAAAAAAAAAATGTTTAAAATTGATGGTAGAGCTGATCAGCATGGGATTCCGAGTTTCGTAAAAGTAAGTAGGTAGGATGTGGCGCAGCAATTCTGCATCAATGTTGATATGGAAAACTGCTACCATATTAAGTGCTTGTGATACTGGATCCAATTCTATGAAGGAAACGATTAAAAATTATTGACATAATCTTTTCTTAAATATTCGTTTTAAAATAAAAAAACAGGAGTTGAATGATGATTTCCAGTGGGTGGATGATAATATTTCGGGGAGATCAGAAGAGGAGTCAAAGAATGAATTATATCGGATGGTTAAATTCAATCTCCCTTTATTTTTTGATTTAATCTGATCTCATCTAAATTCATTAATGTGATTGGATTTATATATGATTATAGATTGATATCGTTCCGAATGGATATAACCGAACAATGTCAGGCCTCTTTTATGGTGCCTTAACTGTAAATTTTCAAACAGTATGTAACGAGAAATAATTTTATATCAAAAAAAAAAAATTATTTTTTTTAACCAGATTTCTTTAGTTTTATGATTATATTGGAGACCTTGATAAGGATGGATATGATCATATGATTGCACAATTGAAAAAAGTAGTCAGATATAAATGCTTCGCGCTATATTCCAGGGAAACCATACATCGAGTAAATATTTAACATTGAAAATTATTGTTGTTGACTGACAATCATAATCAATGACTTTTAAATTATTCATTATAATAGATTATGTTGTTAATTGAAAATCTCGTGACGGATCACAGATCTGCTTTGGGCGGGATTCCGGGACTCTACGATGTCTGTGAATCCATATTACGACAAATTAGAGGTATTTTGATTCAAGAACAATTTTTTTGTTTTTAGCTATAACTTAATCATTTTCGTTATTTTAGGGGGGGATATTTCTGAAACAAATGTATGGCTAAGCAATGAAGTTTTAGAGTTTTTCCAACGCGAACTGTATATATCATTTTTTTTTTAAAAAAAAAAAAATTAAAAATTAAAAATAAAAAAATAATAATGATGATGATAATCATAATAATGATTAATAATCAAGAAACAATTAGCTGAATTTTTTTTTACTGACACAATTTGATTTCATTATAGAATATGGCTTTATAACAATGAACGTCTGCTGCACATTACATTTTATACTTTTACAAGTTTAATACGGGATCATCATGAGCTTAGGCTAGAGAATTTAAGGGCAAAAGAAATAAAATTTTGTAAAATGATATTTGACGTTCATGTATGTATCAATTTCCTATTTGATATTTAAACATTCGAACATTATAATTTATTTATATATTTATTATTGTTATCTGGTATGAATTAGTTCAATTCTTTCTTTAAAATTGGTCGAGATTTATTAAGATTAATAAGAGATAATCGTAATGTTCCCGAATTTTTATACATTCTAAGCATGGTTCCGGAGGAGAGTAAGTTGTTGCTTTTGTTTTCTGTTTAATTTTATTTTATGATATTTTTAGTTTTCTGATAGTAATATGCACTTTTTTAATTGTTACTGATACGCGACTTTAGTAAAACTAACCATCATGAAGCAAAAATCCTTAAGTTATTGTTTATCAAGTCGCCTATCATTTGACATGAGCGAGAGGTTAACGCACATGTTGGAGCAGGTAATTATTTACTTCTCGCTAAATATATTATTAAATTGTATTTAATGTATTTAATGGTTAGCATTCTTAATTATCATTTTTATAGCACTCGCCGTCAGCCTTCAAACGAAAACTGGATTTTTTCAAAACAAATTTCCTATCACCTCCTGCTGATCCTCGTTACTTAATTGCTGATATTATTCGATGGATAGTCAGCGCTTATCGTCCAAATAACGAGAAAGCCATGAGTAATAGATATATATTGATTAATCTTTTATTGCATGAAATAGGAGTAAGTGCCAATCGTTAACTTTTTATTTTCCTTTTATTGAATTTAACATCTTTATGTTATATAATAAATTTAGGGTAATTGGGATGCCATAGAATTAGCGAAAACGGCGTTAGTTTATGATTGGTTGTGTTTTGAAAGAAACAACAGAGACCCTAATATTATAAGAGAGGGTCTATATTGTATAGGTAAGTTACATTTATTTTAATTATTTTTGAATAATTTAGGAAAATTATTCATATAAATTTATATCATTATTAGAGCCATGTATACAATTAATTGTAGAGAATGTTAAATCTAACAACTTAAGAATTGCCAAAGATCTATTAGAAGCACTCTATACATCAATAAGCAATATCTTTCCTGGGATTGACAATGAACTTCGTGAAAATGTTAGAGCATCTTCTCAGCTTGCAATTGCACGTAATATTATGACGTAGGTAGTTTTCTTGCTTGAAATGCACGATTATTTCAAACCTAAATAACTTGTATATCCCAAATAAATAAATAAATATATATATATAGAGTAGAGGATATCAAATTTATTCGCACAAAACTTAGTGATTTTGTCGGTGATAATCGCATTGTAAAGATTGTTGGCGATTTATGGGGTCATCTAATGAACACTATGCCAGTGACTCCTTCGGTCTTTCCATCCAATCCCCTACAATCGGAACTAATAACTGGCTCGGCATTTTATCAACAGCCATCATCATCACCTTTTATTCAATCATCTCAAACTTCCATACAGTCAAACCTTTTGTTAATACGTAATCCTGTTCAGTCATATGAAAAGTCATCAGAGATAGATTCACAATTAGAATCAGAAACAAAATTCACTAGCCTTGACAATCAATTATTATTTTCAAAGAAACGTGATTCATCCATGGATTCTGCTGTTCAGCCTTCTAATGCAGTCTCCAAATCGCTAGAGTCGAAACCAGTTGTAGAAGAAACATCATCCAACTTGATGACAAATTTTATACCATCGACGCGAGTTTCAGCTTCGTCGGCACCAAATTCCGTGTCTGTTCCACAGAGTTTATGGTTCTATAAAAGCCAATTGAAAAATTTTAAGGCAGCTTCATTAGCTGGGAATTCTGCAGAAGAAATCCAATATTTGACGCAAATATTGGATCATTTTATGAAGGTAATATTTTACAAAAGATTTAGTTATTGTTTAAATCAAAATATTTATTTATTTTATCTTTTAAAATATAGGGAGTTAAATTGGATGCGACAAATTCTCCACATCTTACGGATTTGCCTTCTTTTATTGGGCCTGATATTTGCCGAACACTAAATTTCGATGAACTAAACAAAAGTTTTAATTTAAATTCTGAATGTCTCGAAATCAATCCATCTAATCAGAATTTATTCAATTGTTTAATATATTGGGTCTTCCATCATAATGATGAGAAGGATGAGAAGGAAAAAAGTTCACCTAAATTTAAGTCGTTTGAAATGTATAGACTTATTGTCAAAAACGATGAAAAAACTCATTCGGAAGCCCGGCTAAAATTACTTGTCTATTGTCTTAGGTGCATGAATTTAAAATATTCAAAAAATTTTTTTTTTGAATTATCTGATAATCATCATTTAATCTTTTATACATATATTACATAGGTCTTTAAAGTTGGATAAATTGGGAAGTGTATTAATTAAAGATTTTAAACTTCAGATCAACTTGTATCTTGAATATATAAACTACGAAGTTAAGCGCGAAGGCTCTTTTCCAGATAACGAGGAAGAAGTGAACAAACGTTTTTTGTCAGGAATACAGGTGGGTATTCAATATAATTGTTTTATTTAATAAATGACAGCTTATGATTTATTATTTCTTTATAGCTTTTGCAACAATATGAGTGCAATGTTTTTGATTCTATTGTTCCCAAACTTTTACAAATATGGCCCGAGATCTTTGTTGGAAATTTTGAATTTATAACGTCAATTATTCACGGAATAAATCCGATGCTTGTATGTCAAACCCTTTTTATACATTTTTATTTTATTTGTATATTACTAAAATATATCTCTATATATATATTATTATTAGATTTATAAATTCGAGACGGATTTACGACTAGGTCATTATAGTGTGTTTGGAGATTTGGATTTGGATTATGTTTTGGGTATGACGTTATTATGTTTTGTAGATAATATATATTATATTGTTCTCTACTTATATTTCTCTCTATCTATCGCAGAAAATTCATTAAATTTTTGGGGTTCATTTGAACAATTATACCTTTTCCAATTGATAAAAGCCGAGATCGGAAATAATGCCGAAAAACTTGAAAATCTTATATGTTCAAGCGTACAATTGAAATTCCTGGAACCGATAGGTAAATTTATTTAGGAAAAACTAAGTTAATAATAATGGCAGGCCTTACATGTATGTTGTTTCATTCAACAATTATCTTTATTTAGAGCATCCTGAATCGTTGTGTGGGCTGTTATCTCTCCTTGAACTTATTCCCCCAACAGCGAAGAGTGTTTCATTCTTAACGAAACTAATTGCTAATACGAAATTACTAGAGAGCAAGTTGGAAAACTTAAAGTTTGTCGCCTCTGTCTTTACTCGATGGAATGATTGTTATCCGGAAAAGTTAATTAAAGCCATGATAGAAGAGGTTTCTAAAAACATTAAGGATTGTGAAAATGACGAAAATGAAGCTAGTGCTTTTTTTGATGTCATATTAGAATTATGGAAAAATGAAAAGCTCAATCGAGGTTAGTAAATATCACGTTGATAATCATTTATCCAATTCAGCATAAACCAACCCAAATAATAATAACTTTTTTATAATTAATAAACCTTGTAGCTTTTAAAACCATACTACCTAACTTTATGCTTTTGGGCAATGCCGTCGGAAAGGAAATCGTGTCTTTACAACGATCACCTGAGGCCGAGGATGATGAGGATCAAATGGAAGTTGATGATGGTGACGGTGACGGTATGTATGCTAACGAAAATTTAGGATGCGCAAAGTTAATCAACTAATCGACCAAATGTCTTTCAATGACTTAAGATACGTCTTATGAACAACCAACCACCACAGTTTCCACGATTTCTACTCGATCGAAAGGTAAAGCAAAACAGATTGAGGTAGAGGATCGATCAAAGCGTTCTATAGGTCCATATAACAATAACCGCGCACTTCGACAAAAAACTGACGCATCAAGTGAAGAAGAATCATCATCGCATGAAAAAACTCAGAATCGTAAAAGTGTCAAACCAAAGCGCGTGAAAAGAAAAGTTATCATTAATTCAGATGATTCAGATGAAGTTGAACAACCCGCTACCATTACCAATAACACTACCACTGCTACTACGAATACTACGGGTAAGATCAACCGACAAACTAGAAAACGTCCTAATATTGCTTCACATAATACGGAAAGACGAAAAAGTATATCAAGTGGAGGTGAAGAATCCAAAGAACCAAAGATGATCGGCAGAAGTGCTAGGTCAAAATCCAAAAACAATTCTGCATTAACGCGTTCAGAAACCTCAAGGGCATTATCTGTCACGCAAGCAAGTATCAATCGTCGTAAAAGTATTAGCGGGTCAGGTTCAAAAAAAAGAAGCGCAAAGGATTCTTCTGATGAATAACCTGGTTGATTTTTATTATTATTTGAAAAGGAATTGAAAAGATATAGTTTGATGAAATTTTTTTTTAATTGTATAATATAAAATTTTTAAGAAGGATAAATTAAAAAATTATTAAAAATTAATTTTAATTTTATTTATTAAAGCTTTATTTTTATTATTTTAGAGTGAATTTTGTACGCCTATTGGAGATCGGCACCTAAAATTTTTTTTTAATTTAATAATCATCAATCAAAACATAATAAAAAATTCTCATTTTCTTTACTTAAAGTATAAATGTCACGAATTATCACACCCGCTTCTAAAAAGGCTTCTTCGATTTTTAGAAGATTGTGGAGAGCAGGTGATTCATCAGTATTATATTCAAGACCAGCTGTTTATTATGTTAGACAGAGAATTAGAGAGGGATTTGAAGAACATAAGAATGTAACTAATGAAAATATTTTAAACGATCTTTTTGAACGTTGTAAGTAATCAAAATAAAAATCGTGACATTGTATTGATTTAAAGAAATGTTTAATCGGTTTCCTTGGTAATGTTAGGCGAAAATACTATAAAATTCTTGGAAATTTCTGCTAAAAGAAAAGGATTTGAACATAAAGTGATTTATTCCTTGTGCGAAATGACTTATATTCAAAATAGATATAAAAGACGGTAAGATTGATGGAATATGTAATAAAAAAAATTTTTTTTAAATCCTACTTTTGAGGCTAATTTAAAAAAAAAAAAATCCTTTTTTTATTTTATTTTAGGCCTCCACATAGCAATAAAAGGTTGAGTTTAGAATTGTATAACATGCACGCTCATTCCTATGACGATTATTACTTGACTGTAAAGATGATGAATGATAGCCTAAAATTATGTCTTAGATAATGAAATATTTGAATCTTCAGCCCAGCATCAGTTCCAATTATATTAGAATCTCTTAACGCCTACTAGCAACTCATATGTAGTAATATCGCCGAGATAAGGGTATAAAAGTATATTAATGAACCTAAACTTGTAATTTGAAAACACAAATTAAAAGAAAACTGGCATGATAAAGGATATTAAATTATGGATAATTATATTTTATTACCATAAACTATCCTTAAATGTAATAATGTCGCGTGAATAATAAATATATGAAAGATATAAAAAATTATTGATAATAAAATTTATTTCTTGAAGAAAAACAAAATGTGTAAAAATTTAGGGCTGATTATAATGTTACGTAATTTCTTGAAATTTTGAAAAATTTGCGCGAAAAATGTGCGCAAAGCGGATTGCGAGCGGTATATTCTAAAAGATGATAAAGAATGATAGTTATATAGCGGAAAAAATTTTGTACGTATTGGTGAAAGTTTGTGCGGAGCTCGTCAGATTTGGAAAAGACGTTGACAGACTTTTTTACTTTCAGTGCACGGGAATGAATAACTGCCATACTTTATACAGTACTTTGTGATATTTTTTTTTTTATTTTTAAAAAAAAAATAGGAAAAATAACATGATTTTTTTTTTTACAAGTCAATAATTTTTTTTTTTATTTATTTCAGTATAGAGGTTGGAACCGGTTTGGCGTAAATCGATTTAAATTCGGTTTAAACCGGTTGCAACATAAAACCGGGTCTAGCTTTTTCAGATTCGAAAACCGGTTTTAATAAAATCGGTTGATTGCGAAAATTCGAATTTAATAAAACCGGTCGAACCGGGTGATCACATAAAACCTGTTTTATGCATTAAATCAAACTATGACATACATATGACATTTATGTAACATTTGATAATATGTATGCAATATTATATATTGATCTAATTTCGACAATGGCGTTGAGGTTAAAATAAATTTTTTTTTTTTATAAAAGAAATTAATTATGTGGATTATTCCATTTTCGCGATTTTTTTTTTTTTGTTTTTATATTTGCAAATATGTAGGCCTAATCATTCAAATTTGTTCCTTCTGAAGTTTTATGAACTTGAATTTGGTTAGATTATACATTTTTTTGTATAATTTCGACATCGTATATTTCCCGTTATGTATAATATCCTCGTTACCAATATAATGTGATAAAAAAAAAATTTTTTTTAGTTTTTATTCAAGAAATTTCTTTTTTTTTTGACAAAGAAAAATGGAAAACTCACCTTTACCACCTTTTGAATCTATTTCTCCTATTGATATTGATTCTGATGCTGAAACTATTACAAGTATTAGTAGTTTAGCCCGAA